TTGCTGTGGCACCACACGGCCACATGTGTGAGCTCCAGGCCTGGCCACACCGTTTTCCCCGGGCGGCACACACAGCGGCCCCCCGCCCACACCGCACCCGAGCCACACCGAGCCCGTGGCTGTCACACACACACTTCCTTCTCTTACGGGCCCCGATAAGCTATCACATCGTGAGCCCAAGTCAAACCCACGTCCAGCCCCGGCTCCCCTCTTCCTAGAGGGGCGCCTGCCTCCATTAAGAACCCGAAGACTTGGGGCCACCTCAGTTAGAAGTTCTCTCTGAGGGCCACATCCAATCAGCTCCAAATTCCCACCAGCCCTGGTGCTCGGGGTCCCTGAATCTGTGAAGCCCCCGTGGTCCAGTCCTGCCAGAGCTCTGCCCACCTCAGGGCCCAACTGAGGCATCTGGTGCCTTTCTTTAGCTGGTGATATAAACTTCAGACACTTCGGAGTGGCCCTCACAGTCCCCATTGGTCCCTTCCCCAAACCTCCCCTGCCTGCATGTGGGGAGACCTACTTGTAGCTTTCTGCATGAAGAATGTTCGTGTCCATGTCCCTGACACCCCATCACCTCCCAAGGACAGAGCCTGCCTGGTTCACAGCGGTGTCAGATTTAACAAAGAGAAACGGTACTGGTCCCGCCTGAATTTCTCGGTGCTCGTGTTAGTATCAGTGCCCCATTTGGGACCTGCTGATTCTAAAGAGCCGCCTGCCCTGAAATCTGGCTGGCACTTACTGTGCATCCTGGTGTCTTCTGACACCAGCACAGCTCCCGGCACACAGCCCAGGGGCAGCTGCAGAATTCGGTGCAGGGTCTCCAGTGCCCGTCCAGTCGCCTAGCAAACATGAGGGCAGAGGAGTGAGACCAGGCGGTGACGAAGGAAAAGGGGACCTCGCAGGGAGTGAGGGGACCTCGCCAGTCACAGGAAAGTCTCGGACTTCTGGAAGCCCCTCTGTGACCATCTCCTCTGGGTCGCCCCTCCTTACGTGTCCAGCGAGGTGGCTGTCGGAGGTCAGTTTGTATACCTGACCTGTTTCGGAAGAAAGAAGGCGGGAAAGTCCGAGCTGCCCCCAGGGAGGAGGTCTACACAGCCTCCCCATGTCCAAGTCTGCCGTGGTACTTTTAGGGTTTCAGGACTCAGATCATCACCAGCTGACACCCCCGCTCAGGTGGTCTCTGCATAGAAAGCCCAGAAGGCCTGAGGCCTCTCTGTACCTGGCAGGTATCAGTCACTTGACACTGAAGGTAGCCGGCTGGTTCAGAGCATGGACTGGACCCTGGCCTAGGACAGCCTGGCAGTGCCTCTCTGACCACTGTCCTTATCTGGGGATTATTTGTACGTGTCACAGTGCATGAAGTGAGTGACAGCACCTGTGAGCTGCATTAGGGCTGCTGTGGCCACGTTTTAACGGTCTTCCCAGCACTTTCTAGCACCCGAGTACTGAGCAGACGCCCTTGTCGAAGGCCTTCTTGTTGTGTGTTTGGGAGTTCTTGGTGCCGCGTCCTGGAGTCCTGCCCGGCACTGGCTCAGAGCAGACGGCGTGCAGAGCGTGATGGGCAGAGCCGGGTGGCAGTCCCGGCTGGGGCAGCGGTCAGCCACCGGCCCTGACCCCCGCTGGCTGCAAGTGGCCGCTGCAGCTCCACACCACGTTCTCGGGAAGGGCTGTCACCACTGCACGAAGGGACCCTCCTTTCACTGGGAAGAGAGGACGGCGCTCGGACCCCCTCAGCTGGTTCCCCAGGGACTCGCTGGAGGGGTCACAAGGACACCATTTGACAAAGCAGTGATGTGGCTTTGCTGAGCCTCTGTGGTGGCCTCAGAAGCCTGGAGAAGGGGCGGGGCAGCCAGCAGTGTCCCAGCAGCGAGCGGTTCGATGCTCGAGTGGTTTTCCACTCAAAGCGTGTAGACAGGCAACAAGTCCGCTTCATCCATGTCTGCGCCTGTGCTCGCGGCCGAGAGGACACTCTCGCTCTCAATACGGAAATACTGTGGAGAAAAGCATTAACTGCTGGATAATGTGAAACGCGTACTGAGAGACATTAGAATAAGCGCATCTGTAGGAGGGGGTACAGCAGAGGGAGGACGGGGAGAGACACCACCCCTCGCGCTGTTTGCAGTGTCCCAGTCTCCATGTGACGGAGGAGAGAGCTGGACATAAGCCTGCTGCCGGCGTCACATTCCATGTATAGAAGTCGGAAGCTGCCGTCTGTGTTTGGAATTACACGTTTAGTATTTAAAAGTGTCTTGTATTCCTGCTTCTCCAAGCTGCATAGAATCTCCCCCACTTTTCTGAGGTGACAGGGATACGAGGAATGGTTGGTTTTGTGCAGCTGCCCTTACTGACACCTGGGAGGCGTGCTTTCTTGTGTAAATTTGTTTCTGCAGTGAAGTCACAGCGCAGGTCTGGGATGCAGGACTCAGCGACAGCTGGAAAGGAGGAATACCGGGAAACCCAGTATTCTTTCCAAAAGAGGGTGCCAGTCCCTTTTATGCATATATGACTCTCTAAAGTGGGATCATTTGAAAACGAGAAAAGCTAGGAAAAAATTCTTTAGATGTTATTCTAGAAAACTTTTTTATGATTTCCTTTTAAAAATTCCTGGGCTGCCACCAAGTCTCCATCGCTGACGACTGGGGTGCTGAAGTAGGGACTCTCATTCTGAGGGAATTCCAACCGGCTGAGAGGGGATTTCAAAAGGAAAAGGGATCCTGCTGACAGGTTTCTAGGGAGGAGCAGGGAAAGGTGGGGGGGGGCACGCCCTGCTGGGCAGAGGGCAGCCCTCACCTCCAGCTCCTCACCTTGGCTGCACCTCCTAATCTCAGGGCCGGAGTTTCAGTCTCTGGGCCGTGATCTTCCGGGATGCCTGGACATTAAATGCTAAACCGCTGTAATAAAATATGTGTTGAGCCTAATAAGGCTGAAATTGGCTTTTTTAAAAACTGTAAAACATGCTGCATTAGAAGACCAGGCCCTTTGACTCTCTGCTGCTGACTGGGCAGCGGAGATCTCGGGCCAGAAGTGTGAATTCCAGAGCCCACCTGCCTGGGCCCCGAGTCCGCCCTGCCACCCGCTCCCGGAGCCTCAGGCCCCGCTGGTGGCACGGGGAAGGTCACGGGGCCCTGTCTACGGGGCGCCCATGAGGCTGATGGGTCAGTGTGATGTGAAATGCTTGCTCGGTGTCCAGCACAGCGGTATGTGGCAAGTGTGACGGTTGTGAGTCTGTGTTCAGTAGGAAAACTCTCATTGGCTTTCTACACGGCGACTATGCCCAGGTTTGGAATAAAGAAAATCATTGGGCATTACAACAGATTTTAAACACCGAATCACAAAATAAACCGAGTTGTGTGTGAGTGCCACCTCCAGCCACCTCCAGGGTCCTCTGCTCTGCTCTGAGGCTGTGCCCCGTCAGAGCCAGCACTGGGCTGCGGAGTGGGGACCCGGGGAGAGGACACGTGCCTCCCTCAGGGCTCTCAGACCGGAGGCACTGTGCTCTGCGTTCATCAGAAGTGACAGCTCTGACCTGGAGAGAGCACCGCTCCGCATGATGTGCAGGGATGCACGGTACGGAATCAGCCGTTTCAAGGACATGCAGGAGGGGGTGCAGAGAGCTGACATTTTTGCAAAGATGAAAGGGCGCCTAGAGCCTGGGCGCCAGGGCAACCCCTGCACCCCCACTCCAGACCCCTGCACTGAGCACAGACACAGGAGCATGAGGTGGTCACATGCGGGGTCCCAGAGAGCCCCAACGCGTGACAGTCTCGGGGTGCTGCTGGCATTGGGCTGCCCCGCTGATGGCCAGTTCCGTGTGGGGACACTCCGGTGGCCGCGCGTGGTGTTTGCTCCCCGCCTTCCTGCCAGCCAGCCCTGCGGTGCCCGGAGGCGCGGTGGGGGGCGGGGCGGCGCCCCCTCCTGGCGCCGTGCAGACCCGCGGCCTGAAGCCGGCCACGCGGGATCCTTCACAGATTTAGGGCCCCCATCAGAGGCTTCCAGCTGACGTCTCCCCGTTTTCTAGGTTTCCGTGGTGGGAACCTAGGTAGGAGCTAGGAATGTGTCATGTACCTGGTTTTGAAGCAAAAGTTATTACAACATAAATTCTATCACGATATAAAATATAATAATGATTAATTTTAGCAGAAAAAGTGACCTTCAGTCTATAGTGAATGGGCTTTGCTTAATCAGAACTTACCATCGAGCCCGGGGTTTACTCTGCTGTCCCATGTTTTAAAGAAAGAAGTGAGTCACAAGGAAAACAAATGGCGTTGCATTCACCCTGAAAAGCCAGGGGGGCCTGGCGGGCTGTCCCGTGCGGCCCGAGTGCCGGCCGGCAGCGACTGCACTCAGTGTGTCCACTGTGGGAAGACTCGGGACGAAGTTGGCTCAGTGTGCCGGAAATGGGGGCTGAGCTGACCTGCCCGCATCCTCCCGGCTCCCCAGACTTTGAACATTTTACAAAATAGCAAGAAGGGAGACCAAGAAAACTGATTTTTTTAAGGGAGTTTGGGAGAGAGTGGCCATTGTAATTACACAGTGGGTTGGATTTGTCAAACTGCCCTCCCCTTTGGCCGACGCGGCATAACCCGGGCCACTTCCCAGAAGTCGGAGCTGAAGGCCGGCCTGTGTCCGTTCCCTGTGGTCCCCAGTGTGAGTTGCCGGCAGCTTGTGGGGTTATGACGAGACTCCCCGGGTTTCTGGCTTCAGCTCAGGAGCCGAGCTCACTGCCAGGCTGTGCAGTGACCGGTGCCGTCAGCACTTGGTAGAAATGTGGAGGCGTCCTGATTCCCTCCATAAAGTGTCGGGCTCAGAGCACTCGTGTAAATAGCCGCCCTCGTTACTTCGGCTGCAATTCACACTTGTAGGTGTGAACCCCAGGGCACGCGCGCGAGGCAGAGGCATCCTGGGACTTGCATAACAGCCTCTCAGCGTCCGTCCAGATAACCCTCCTCTGCCCCTTGAGTGATGCTCACGGCCCGCTTTCTCTTCGTGTCTTTTTCTTATAGCCAGAGCTACCTGCAAGCTGCAAGTGATGGGCCTGCCAGCCACAGCCTGGACCCCTCTGCCAACTACAACTCCCCGAAATTTCGCTCCCGGAACCAGAGTTACATGAGAGCTGTCAGCACGCTGAGTCAGGCCAGCTGTGTGAGCCAGGTCGGGGATCCCTCCCGTCCCCTGCCCCGTGGGGCCCTGTCACGACAGCCATGTCATCCCAGAAGTCTCCCTGCCAGGGGGACAGTGCCCAGCATGTGTATGGGGGGCCAGGAGCAGACGTGGCATTGCCTTTCACTGGTGGCAGAGCCGGGAACTTCATAAGACCGGCCTGTGCTGTGTGACTGTGTGACTCTTACATTGATCTGTGAGTGAGGATGACTGACCAGCTGGCCTCCGGCCTCCTTAGCTGGTTGAGCTCAGACTGTCTGCCTTTTCCCAGGAGGTTTTCACAGTAAAACGGGTCCAGGGGACAGCCATATGGTGACCAGGCTCTGACTACAGTGGCTTTATGTCATTCCCCCAAACTGGGCCTCTGAAGGTCTAGTAAAAATCGTTGAAAATTCGCTGTGGGGCTTGGTGTCACTCAAGAATCAAGCTGATCCGGCTTAGCAGACGAGTGGCTCTGAGCAGGATCACAGTTCCACGTGAATGACGCGTTTCACTCAGGCCCACAGGTGTGGTCAGAGAGGAGCAGCCAGGTGTGCGGGCTCGGGGCCGAGTGCCCTGTTTAGGACAACGAAGGCTGAGTCTTTAAATTTTTCATTCAACATAACATGTTGCTTACTGATTTTAACTGCCTTTAAAAATAGTGCTGGAGCTGAGCTTGGGGGGTGTTTGTTTGTTTGTTTGTTTTTAAATGTCTTGAAACTTTTGTGGGTTTTTTTATTATTATTAATTATTATTATTATTACTTTTATTATTATTATTAGCTGCATTGTTTTGTACACCTGAGCTTGGGTTTTCAGGCTCGTGCTGAACACTTCCTTCCACTTCCTGTGGAGCCCTGACACCTGTGACATTCCTAAGCCCCTGACCGCCTCCTTCCTGTCCAGGGAGTGTCAGGCCTGTGGACGGTGCTGTGAGAAAGTCCCCTGAGCCGCCCCCGGCCACGATGTGGGGCTGCCACAGGCCCCTGCACATGGCCGGCTTTGTCCTCAGCTCTTTGGGCCACTTTTGCATTGTTGACATTCCACAGAGCTCTGGGATCTGCCAGCCTGTCGGTCCAGCGAACAGCTCCTGAGGTCGTCGTCCCTCTCAGCAGGACGGGCCCTCCGGGCTCAGAGCACAGCTGCCCAGCTGGCAGCTTCCGCTCTGTGCGCGTGTGACGCACTGACCCCACCCCGGGCGGGATAGCGCCCACACTCCTCACGTCTCAGCAGACCTCAGGCCCTCTGACGGTCGCCTCCTTGATAAATGCCAGCGTCATGCTGGGCTGCTTCCAGAGGCCTGTGCTGGGCGGTTCTGTCGGTCACTCACTGAGCTCTTTCCGGGCTGGGCTGGGGTTTGGGGTGCCGTGGAGCAGGACACGGATGACGGAGTAGGGTGACAGGACTGAGTCTCGAAGCAGTTACCTGCCTGACACCAGGCAAGTGAGCAGGCGGCCCCAGCAGCCCCTGCCCGTCCTCTCATCCCCTCCACCCCAAGCATCTTGTCCCCACTCCCCCGACAAGGGCCTGTGTCCCACACCAGGGCCAGCGGCCCACACTTGCTGGTGTTTCTGGGACACCCCCCCCCAACTCATCCCTCTCCAGACGAGCCAGCAGCAACGTGTCCTTCCTATCTTGCAGGTGCGAGGGGGCAGGTGGGTCCAAAAAGCAGCCACGTCCCCAAGCCTCGCACTGGCTCCTTGCTGCACAGGGAGGTGAAGGCCCCAGAGGGAAACGACCTAGGCGGGGCCCACTGAGGTGGCCTCAGCCAACCCCATGGCACGTCCGCCTCCCCCTTTTCCCCACTAGAATGTGTTTCTTGTCACCTACTCAAAACTAGTCACCACACCTAGCTCTCAGGGTCTCTGTGACCCATTGCACATCTGCTTCGCAGTGGGCATTTCAGTCGCCGGGTGACAAGACGGCACCGTGCCCAGGGCGCGTGCATGGTGGCCGCTCCCATCCCCGTCCCCTGTCACTGTCCTTGGCACAGCATCCATTACTGTCCTGGGGCTCAGCCTGGCTGCGTTCTCCTGGATTCATCGTCGCTGTGACGGTCTCTGCATGGACTTTGTGTCTGGTCATCCACAGCTGGGTACTCCTGACAACCTGACAGCTGTCCAGGCAGCAAAGCTGAGCAGGAGGGCGCAGTGCCGGGAACGGCCTGTAGGGGCGCTGGCAGCCTCCCTGCCGGACACCCCTCCCCCCTCATCCCGTCCCCTGGGCTCTGCCCCTGGTCTTTACAAGGGTGTTTCGGCTCCGTCATGGCCCCTCTTTCTGTCATGCATCCTTTTTGTTAATTGTGGTCAAATACACATAACCTGAAATTTACCACCTTAACCATTTGTAGTGCACAGTTCGGGGCATTACGTAGTCGCGTGGATGTGCGAACACCCCGCCGTCGCCAGAGCTTGTCCATCTTGAAGAACTGAAACTCTGCTTTCATTGAACACCCCGCGCCCCCACCCCCAGCACTGGCACCCACGAACCACATTCTGTCTCTGACGACGCTAGGGCGTCACACGCAAGGACTCACACAGCATGTGCTTGTCCTTCTCTGTCTGGGCTCTGTCGCTGAGCATAACGTCCTCAAGGTCCATCCACATGGCAGCACATGCAGCTTTCCATCGTTTTCGGGGCTGAATGATACTCGTGTGGATGGACCGCGCTTGGTTATCATCACCTGTTGCTGGGCATTGTTGCCGCACCTTTGGCCCCTGTGAAGCCGCTGCCGAGGGCGTGGGGGCCAGTGCCTAGCTGCCCCCACCCGTTTTGTTTCCTGCGGAAATAACCGCGTGCACCGCTGCGTCAGAAGCAGCTGCTCTGAGCTTCCTGAGGGACCGCAGGTCGGTGTCCACAGTGGCCACACCGTCTCACGTCCCCACCAGCAGTGCGCAAGGCCTCCAGTGTCACCGTGTCATGATCGCTCTGTGAGTGTCCCCTGCCGTGACCTCCGAGAAGCCAGCACTGGCTTTACGTGGAGCCACAGCCATGAAAGCCGTGAAAGGACAGTCACCCCGCTGACCCTGTCACTCTCACCTTTCCCCGATTTTCTCTGCTTCCTTGTACTCCATCCTCTAGAACAGCTCGAGCTGCGTTTCTGAGTTTATGGCTCACAAAACAAGAAGTGGGTTGCATCAGGCCACACGGCATTCCCACTGGCCTAGGCCCCCGGGTGACCCCCGACTGAGCCTGCTTTGGGCTCCAGTGCAGTTTTGTCCACTTCTCCAGATCCCCCGCGAGCTCAGGGACACCTTGCCTCTCCGGGAGCAGATCCTTCTGTGCCTCTCGGCCAATGGGAGAGCCCTCTTAGCCATTTTGTTTGTTTGGGGAGCAGAGCCTCACAGAAGCATCAGCCGATCGGGCTTCGCTGATGCGTTGACTTTGTGGGATGCACGTTGGGTCAGAAGTGTCTTCTTAAGGAGGAGCCCTCCTGAGCCGAAATCTGCATTCAGGTGCCAGCTGACGCTCGCGACTCCACTCAGATTTTGGCTTTTTCAAGTTGTCTAACGTGGATCTTTGACATAAATGGCATAAAACAACCTGAGGGTTTTTTAATAACATTCCACATAAGGGACAACTTAGGTTGAAAGAAACCTGTAGTCTGGAAAATGTCACATTTCAAACCAGTGTGTGTCTGATGTGCTTCACTCACGGGGTGCCTGAGGCCACCCTGAAGGGAGGGTCGCGGTGCGTCTGCCCTGGATGGCTGACTCCATCCAACATCAGAGGCCCTCAGACCGGTCGGATGAGTGTGCTCGCCCCTCACGTCTCTCTGGGCTTCCCTGGCGGCACAGCCACAGCTGGTTCTCTCGCACTGTGGCCTCAGGCCTGTCAGCCCCCGGCGTCCCCTTTGTCATCTAGAACCAGCGACTGAGCTGTGGATTGTGGGCTCGTCTAGCATGTCAGGAACCTCGGGTGACAGCCGTGGAGCCCGCAGCAGGTCTGCCACTCAAGGTGGGCAGAGGCATCACGTTTGCCCTCTGTCTCGGGCATCTGATTCTTTTACCCGATTCTACTCTGTGAACAGTGAGAGGAAAACAGCTAATCTGGTGTTTAAAACAATACTTTTCTTATTTGTCTGTACTGTAACCCCGGGCGGCGGTGACATGTGGGCGGTGGGAGGACAGCTGGGCGTGTGAGACTGTGATGAGGAAAGCAGGTGTGGGCAGCTGAGGGCATGTGTCAGCGTGGATTCGCAGTGGAGTCTACCTGACGTCCAGATGAGTCCCAGCTTTCTGGCCCGGCTCCCCGCCCCCCACCTCCACCAGGGGTGAGCCCAGGGCAGGACGGACCGGACAGGGAGACGGAGTGGAGGGGACACGGGGCCCTGGCAGCGTGCACAGCTCTGCCCCAGCCCCGACGCGCGAGGCGCAGCCCAGGCCTCACCAGCAGGCACCCCGCAGGCTTACGTGTTAACACGCACACGATGCACACGAGGGCCGGACCCCGCACAGAGCGGCCACGGGGGCGTCGTCAGTCCCTCCGCCCACTCACGCTGCGCCCGAGCCCCGTGGGCCTGCGAGCAGCTGCACCTTCCCAGTCGGTTTCCGCTTTTCATCCTTATATTCTGACCCTTTCTCCCGCCCCGTTCTCCTCGGCCTTGTGTCGGTGCTGCGTTTCACTTCACTGCATTTCCACTTAAAACCAGATTGGGCTCATGGGAAACACGGGAGCATCACCCCCCAGGAACCTGGGGGGCGCGTGTCCCCCACGGAGGCCCTGCAGCCCCGACGGCCGCGCTGCGTGCGCACCGCTGCGCTCCCCGTGTCCAAAGCCCTGATCGCGTGTTCAGTGTTTTGTAAGAAATGACCCGATAAACCGTTTCCCGAGCCCAAGAGCTCTCCCGTGCCGAGTTCAGACGAATGACGCTGGAAACAAGCCCGAGCGGCCGCCGGCCGCCCGCTGACGCCCGTGTGTTGCAGGTGAGCGAAGCCGAGGTCAACGGGCACCTGGAGTCGGTGTGCGAGTCCGTGTTCAGCGAGGCCGAGTCTCAGGCCATGGACGCGCTGGACCTGCCCGGCTGCTTCCGGACGCGGAGCCACAGCTACCTGCGAGCCATCCAGGCCGGCTACTCCCAGGACGACGAGTGCGTCCCCGCGATGACGCCCTCCGCCCTCCCCGCCAGGGCCCCCGCAGGTAAGGACGCC